GGGGGGGATGGGCACTGCTGGAATTGACTGATGCATTACAAAGAGTTTATCAATCGAGTCTCTACGCTGACTCTATTTACCATTCCGTTTGCAATTTGCCAGGCAAAGCAAAGAAGATCGCGGGAAGAAAAGTTGTCAGCCTGCTCGACGTCTTTAGGATGGTCATCGTCCTTAGGTGTGTTTATGTTGATCTCCCTATGTTCCTTTCTAACTGGCGTCATCATGCTGTCAGACCCAGATACATCACAGGTGTGATGTGGGTCTTCATCAATCCCAGATGGCCCAGCCACTGGCAGGGGGGAGCACTGAGACTCACTGTGATCAGGATATTTGCATTCATTCTCCTCTTTCACCTTTTTTCCTTCCTTTCTGTCATCGTCACACTTTTCCTCTCCTGTTTTTGTTCCAGCTTCATGGCTGTGCCCCAAATTGCCGTCAGTTCTCTCATCATAAGAACAGACCAGTGCAGGTTCTTGTCTTGCTGTCCCAGGTTCTCCTCTTGTAGACAGGATTACCTCCATAACTTCATGGCAACACTGCTCAAATTCCTCTTCTTTCTTTTCATCATCTTTTTCTTTACCTGACGCTTTGAAAACTAACGTCTTACTCATCAACGCTACCTCTTTCACCGTGACAAAGCTATTTGGCATATTATTTTCAGTGGACACTCCTGAGGTTTTGGCGCTGCCCATCTCGCCCTTATTTGTAGCTTGTGTCAGATGTTCAAAAATTTCCCCATCGATACTGTTCTTAAGCTTCACCTACAATTGAGAGATGGCACGCATGATGAGATCATTTTAAGTTTCTACTGCTCACTCGTACCTTTTTTGCCGCAACTGCATTGATAACTATGATAGCTTGGAGTGTTACTACTCTTTAAAACCAAACAGGTTTTATTTCTAATGGCAGTGAATAACAAAACAAATAAATTAGATTCCGACACTGTTCGTAAATAAGTTATGTTTGTAAGTCAGTCTTACCAGTCAAAAAGAAAATCAGCCTGTTATGATCCGCATTTTGTATTCTCCTATTGAAATTCCCTTACGAATGTCTTGACTTCGACCACTACTGGGAGAATGACAGCCATCCTTGCAATATTTTAGAGTAAATTTATTGTAAATTAAACTTTAATACATAGCATTTGTTTGCAGTAATCATGCACGCCACTCGTTTTCTTTAATTTGCTAAAAAAAAAAGCAACGTTTTTAATCTCTCTCTAAAAGAGCCAACTTTTTCAAACCTGTTGCCTTTTGCCTCTTAGCCACTGAAGAAGATCGCCATGTGGAACATATTCCAGAATCAACATGATGGGTTCTGACTTTACCCAGTAGCCGAGCATGCTAAGGACATTCCGGTGAGAGCCAATTTGCTTCATGAACTCAATTTCCTGCAGGAAAAGCTCCTTACCTCC